TGAATTAATTTATTAGTTCTAATAGTTTTTTGGTGGCATTTTAGGATCTTCCATATGTAGTATTATGTTATCTGCAAACAAGGACAGTTTTACTTCTTCCTATCCAATTTGGATGAATTTTATTTCTTTTTCTTGTCTAACTGCTGTCACTAGGACTTCCAATACTATGTTGAATAAAAGTAGCAAGAGTGGGCATCCTTGTCTTGTTCCTGATCTTAGAGGAAATGCTTTCAGCTTTTCACTACTGAATATGATGTTGACTATAGGTTTGTCATATGTGGCTTTTATTATGTTGAGGTATGTTCCCTCTATACCCACTATGTTGAGAGTTTTTATCATAAATCGGTTGTCAAAAGCTTTTTCTGAATGTATTTGAGTTGATCATATCATTTTTATTCTTAAATTTGTTAATGTGGTCTATCACATTGATTGATTTACAGATATTGAACCATTCTTTCATCACTGGGATAAATCCCACTTGATCATGGTGTATGATCCTTTCAATAGATTAGTGGATTTGCTTTGCTAATATTTTGTTGAGGATTTTTGCATCTATGTTCCTTGGTAGTATGGGCCTGTAGTTTTTCTTTTGTTGTGGTATCTGCCTGATTTGTTATCAGGGTGATGCTAGCCTCATAATTCAGAAGCATTCCTTCCTCATCAATTTTTTGGGAGAGTCTGAGAAAGATAGGTATTAACTCTTCTCTAAATGTTTGATAGAAGTCACCTGTGAAGCTGTCTGGTCCTGGGCTTTTGTTGTGAGGGTTTTTTTTTATTACTGATTCAATTTTATTACTGGTAATCAGTCTGTCCATATTTTTTCATTTCTCCCTGATTCAGTCTTGGGAGATGGTATGTTTCTAGGAATTTATATATTTCTTCTAGGTTGTTCATTTTATTGGCATATAATTGTAGTACTCTCTTATTTGGTATGTTTCTAGGACTTTACATTTCTTCTAGGTTGTTCATTTTATTGGCATATAATTGTAGTAATCTCTTATGATCTTTTATATTTCTGTGCTCTTGGTTGTAACTTCTCCTTTTTCATTCTGATTTTATATATTTGAGTTATCTTATTCTTGATGAGTCTGGCTAAAGGTTTGTCTATTTTGTTTATCTTTTCAAAGAACCAGCTCCTAGCTTTATTGATCTTTTCTATTGTTTTTTAGTCTCTATTTCATTTATTTCTGCTCTGATCTTAATGATTTTTTCCTTCTATCAACTTTGGGTTTTGTTTGTTCTTTTTCTAGTTCCTTTAGGTCTAAGGTCATGTTGTTCATTTGAGACTTTCCTTGTTTCCTGATGTAGGCTTGTATTCTATAAACTTCCCTCTTAAAACTGCATTTGCTGCATCTCATAGATTTTGGATTGTTGAGTTTCCATTTTAATTTGTCTCCAGGTATTTTTTATTTCCTCTTTGATTTCTTCAGTGATCCATTGGATGTTTAGGAGCATATTGTTTACCTACCACCTGTTTGTGTTTCTGCAGTTTTTGTCTTGTAGTTCATTTCTAGTTTCAGAAAGTTGTAGTCAACAAGATGATTGACATGATTTCAGTCTTCTTAAATTTATGGAGACTTGTTTTGTGGCATGGCATGTGATCTATCCTTGATAATGTTTTATGTGCACTTGAAAGGAATGTGCATTCTGCTGCTATAAGATGAAATGTTTTATATATATATAAACTCCACCTCACCTAGCGTGTTGTTTAAGACCAGTGTTTCTTTATTGATAGTGCATATATATTTGCAACTGTTATATCTTTTTGTTGGATTGATCCCTTTATCTTTTTTTTTTTTTTTTTTTTTT